TCTAATTTACCAATATGAATTTCTCTTTGAAGAGGATGAAATTTAAATAGGGATTGTTGTTGGGTAAGTGCTCCAATCACTAGTGTAGCATTTCATATTATTCATAAAACAATTTATATTTACTATATATGGTAAATAATAGTAATTTATTATGTTATTTTTGTTGCAATTGAATAAGTGATTCNTATCGTCAATTAAAAATTGCCATGCTGCCGAGAGATTTATTTCTTCTTTGAAATTAATGCATGCAGATTTGCGATCGGCTTAAAAGATTTCCACTGCCTCCAAAGTTTTTAGTTGTTCCGGGTGTTGGGTGGTGCGAATAACATGCGCTTCATCGAAGAAAGGAGTGGTGTCCGGGTTCGTCGCATACGTAGATAGGGCTGTTGTACATTTATTTTGTTCAATGTCTGATTTATGCTCTTTTAATCTTGTGGCCAATGAACGCTTGGTGGATCCGATATACACTAAAGGTCTATCCCATCTGTTATCTTTTAATGGAATACTGTATATCCCTGGAAGCCTATTTGGGTTTGAATTGTCCTTCCCATTCCTTAATAAACTGTAAATGGTTGGGTTTCTTTTGTATACAATTTTAATTCCTTTTGTTTTTGCAATTTTTTCGTATATTGCCTTTAGATGCGGGTTATACGTTATTGGTACCCTCTCTACGCTATCTTCATTTTCATTATTTAGTACCTCTACCTTTTCTTCTACACGATTCTGCAAACGCCGGTGCTGCTTACATAAACTTTTTATAATATTGCTGTAACCATGGTTTTTAGTGATCTTCCTAATGTAATTTAATTCTCGTTGGAGGGCTTGGGAGGTGGAAGAATCCATATATGCTCTTTCTACTAATGCTCTAAACGCCGCTATCTTATAAGAAAATGGGTCACAAGATTCATAAGGTATATACGTTGATATCGCTGTAGGTTTTCTGTATACATAAGTTTGTACCGCCCTTTCTTTCATATCTATGACTATATCCAAGAAGTGTACTTTATCCTTACTAAGTTGTTCTAGTTCCACTACGAGGCCATATGGGTTGTTGTTCATAGATTTCATAAAATGATCTATATCCGGCTCAGCTTTCCAAAGATAAATTTATTAAGGAACGGGAAGGACAATTCGAACCCAAATAGGCTTCCAGGGATATACAGTATTCCATTAAAAGATAACAGATGGGATAGGCCTTTAGTGTATATCGGATCCACCAAGCATTCATTGGCCACAAGATTAAAAGAGCATAAATCAGACATTGAACATAATAAATGTACAACAGCCCTATCTACGTATGCGACGAACCCGGACATCACTCCTTTCTTCGATGAAGCGCATGTTATTCGCACCACCCAACACCCGGAACAACTAAAAACTTTGGAGGCAGTGGAAATCTTTTAAGCCGATCGCAAATCCGCATGCATTAATTTCAAAGAAGAAATAAATCTCTCGGCAGCATGGCAATTTTTAATTGACGATAAATCATAATATATTTTATAAGATAAATTTTATGAGGTATTGCACACAACGAATCCCCATTGGTAAAAATTATATTTGAAATAACACGTAAATTCCTTCCATGGCACATTCCATATTTTTCAAAAACATTCGAAGTAAAGAATCCAGTTATAACGAATGCTAAAATANTTAAGTTTGCAAATCTATTTAAGTACTTTGCAAATTTTCCATGATCAGTGAAGAATTGTGTTAATAAGTGTGTAGGTTGTATCCAATGATATTTGTATATGTCCTTTATAATTGGGAAGAACTTGTACATAGTTTTCTCTTTGTATGTATTCCATTTCTGCTGCCATTTATACAAAACATCATTCCATAAAAGTTTCTTAGCTGTCTGTAAACTAATTTTGTTGTATGATATCGTTAAATTTTGGTCATTAGTGGCCGACTTAGCCAATTCATCCGCTCTCATTCCTGATAGTTCCTTCGTGTGCTCTGGTCCACATGAAACTATAATTGTTTTGAGAGACAGTTATTTGTTTTTTAATTTTTGTAGAAATTGGTTTTAATTGGGTGCTGGCAGTTAAAACAGAGTCAGTTGTTTGCTGGCTATCTAATGTCCGATCAGAAAATTCACTAAAATGCCGCTGATTCATCACCTGCTGTCGCTGTTGGCTTCGTGTACAAATCCCTTGAGTGTCTTATTTCGGCATAACCGGAATGATTTATATCGCACTCCTGACACAAATTTGTTATGAGCTGTGGGGCTCAGGATATAAATTCAGAATACAGTTTACCGAAACTGACACTTTTTACACACACTAACAACAAAATCTTTATAGCTCTCGTTAAAAGAAAGACTTCTCCAACGTTTTTTTTTATTTCGAACTGTTCTTTTTCTTCCGAATTATTCTTCTTTTTTTGAATCATTCTTTTTTGTTTTGCCACTCTTCGCACCATCATGCTAGTCTCCTCCGAAGCCGGTGCAACAATATTTATTTGTATAAAAAAATTAATTTTTTAACAAATGTTTAATAAGAGGCGAGAAGGGGCAATAATATTCTACATTTACATATCTTTATTCTACAGCATATGTACTTCAATTTCACCTTTGCAGAAAAGTTAGTTCAACTAAAAAGTATGCGATCTAGTTGCTTCAGCCCCTTGTTGAGAAAAGAAAAATATATACTTTGATCAATTAGTCTGGCTTATTCAGAAAAATAGAGTACTTATTTAGAGCAGAGACAATAAAAGAATGATTCAAAAATATTCAAGTTCAATTTGGTCAAAATAATTTAACTAGTAAACACAACTACTACAACGAAAACTACATATTTAATAAATTAAATTGCTGCATTTTGTATTTAAAATAAATGAATTATAACAAAATACAAAACATTTTAAAAAATTAATAAGAAAATTTATTTTATATTTTCATTTAAATAAAAAAAAAACTAAATTACATTTATAATTTTGAATTTTATATAATGGTTCTAAGAAACAAAATAGCTTCAATTAAATCCTCCTTCATAGATGCCCTTAAATCAACTTTAATTATTTTCAAAGCTGAAAATAATCTAAGATAAACGACTTCCAACAACTTAACACTGCGTTGAATAATAACAACCCACGAAAAACTTTTTTTTTTACGAGTGTTATGTCACTAGTAAATTTTACAAGTACTTTCGACCTCCACCGAGGTCTGCTTCAGGTGGTGACTGGCCGTGTTTCGACCCGACCGTTGTAACGATGTTGCCAACGATGTAAATAAATAAACGTGTGCGTCGGGTTTCACCCCTCCAACCGTCGTTGCTCGAACTCCTCGAATAAATACCTCCACGCCTGTGCAAGTGTTTCCCCATCCCTGTAGTTGATGCAGTTGCCCCCCATGATAGCTTTGTGAATCTCCCAGGTCTCCAGGTGCCGGATGTGATCAGCGCGGAACGCGGGTCTGATAAGTTTGGTGTTCCGGAAGTCCGCCCTTATTTCAGGGTCGGTGACATAGGTCAATAAGGCAGTGGTGTGTCTTTTATGCTTAATGTCAGCTTGGTGTTCTCGTATTCATTTCTGTGTTGATCGGATGGTGGAGCCAATGTAAACTAAGTCTCTATTGAATCTGTCATCCCGCACGGGAATGGAGTAAACACCCGGGGCCCTGGTGAGATCCATCGCGTCCTTTGCATTGCGCAGCAAGTCGTAAAGCGTGCCGGTTCTTAAGTACGCGATTTTGGTGCGGTTGTTGTTAGCGATCTCTCTATATAAGGGGTCTAGATGCCGGTTGAAGCGGACGACCGTGCGTCTCGCATTCCCATCCGGTTGACGGTTGTCGTCCGGCGATGGTAGGGGGCAGTCCCTGCGGCTAGGGGGCGGCGGGCGCATGCACGTGCTAAACCACGGACCAAGGCTTTACTATAACCATGTTCCTTGGCAATTTTTTCTATGCGTCGGATCTCCAACCATGCGTCGCGCAGATGTGTGTGGTGTGTGAAGGCCCGTCTGGTAAGGGCCCGGAAAGCCGCCATTTTGTAGATAAAGGGGTCAGAGGAGTTCGCGGGGATGAACAGCGGGAGTTGGTCAGGTTTCAGAATGTGGGTGTGTGGTCACTCTTAGCTTCATTTCTCCCCATAGACCTTACTGGCATGGGTGTCCCTACCAGGAGCTTGTGCTCCAGCCTGCATTGCCCTATGGATCTGTAAAACTACTGGGCTCTCCCACCACGACCAGGTGGTGACCATGGGAGAGTCATTTGGGCTGTGCGCTTATTATTATTATGTTGAGTTTAGTGAGTTTTACTCGGTTCACACCGGTGGCTGTGTTATTATTATTATTATTATTATTATCAATCCGTCTCGATTATATTATAGATGCAGTCTAGAACGAATTGTGATTAATATGTATAAATTTATGAATGAATAAAGGTGAGCATACAGAATATGCTTTACTTTTGTGGTTTTTCTTATAGAATTATATTTTCTTTTCTTAACTTTTCTTACAGCAAAGTTAATGTGAGAATAACAATGCTAATTAAGTGATAACTTGCATCCTGCTTTGGATCCAACTTTTCTTCCAAAATATTTTAAATAATTTAATTCTAATTATTAAATTTAATACAAGATGATCACTTAATCACTTACTTTTAGTCCAAATTACTGTATTTATATTTATATACTTGGTAACCTAAGTTATGGTTTGACAAATCTGGCATTATCATTTGATTAACATATAATTTTGGGTATACTTTACTGCATAAGAATGGTAACATTTGTGTGTTTAAATAACAAACTTATAGTATTTGCATAGCAGTAATATAAAAGTAGAACATATATTCAAATATCATAGGATTTTTCACACTATTATAAAGCTATAAATTAAACTGTTTTATGAATTTACAAGACTACACTTCAACAAGGATGTTTTCAAATGAATAAAATTACACTCAATTTCATATTTTTACATAAATGATAAGTTTTTATTTCTATTTTTAAACAGTTTGCTTAATTGATGCATGTGTTGTTGAAATCTAACTTTATCTGTTCTAGGTGTTCCTATTAAAACATCTTTAGATAATACGACTACAACTCAGTATGCTGGTCTTATGACGCAACTTGTGGAGAGAGCAAGAAACACCGTAAGAGAGATCGATCCCACAAACGATCTTACATTTCTTCGAATCCGTTCAAAAAAGAATGAAATTATGATTGCACCAGGTATATTTTATTCTCTTGTAAATTGTTCATGTATTTATACACAGAACTTTTGTACTTATAATTAATTACACATTATTTCAATAGTGCAATAATCATAAGATATTTTTCTTGTTCAATTCTTATGTTGGAACTAGAATTTCTAAAAATATTTTCTTTCAAGAAAACAATTAGAATTGAAATTATATTTGATGAGATTTTATATACATGGTTTTCCATAAAGAATGCTTCCATTTTAAATCATTGTAATTATGTTAATTATTATCCAAGCATTTTGTAATGTAATTAAACATTGGAAAACTATCCAAGTTTCAAATTTGCCCATTATATGTTCTCAATTTGCATGTCTTTCATCACACAGGCATCTAACCGATACTGAAATTTTTTTTTTACTTTTTATGGCAAATTCATTGTTACTTCTTTCATGGCTGCTACAATTCTATGGCTCCTGCAGCCTACTCATTTTGCACAATGATGAATGATTCTGACTTTACTGACTGCAGAACATAAATTGCCTTTTCAGTTTTGGAGTCACACTTTTCATTTATGGTGCTTCCTAGAGGCAGTAGACAAAGAGACATTCAAATGCAAATAGGAGAAAATCTTGCATGGTTGTCATGTCAATACTTCTTGGATAATAATTAAGATAATTACAATAATTTAAAATGGTAGTATTTTGGAAGTCCCTGATTTTCATTACTAGTCACCTCACAGCCTAATCTTATCAAAGTGTAAAATATCTACTGTACATTTATATCAAATTTCACTCTTTTCAAAAACAAAAATTAATTACAATATTTTGATTCTTATTTATTTAAATAATTATTTTGCAGATAAAGAATACCTCCTTATTGTTATCCAGAATCCATCAGAATAGCTAACATTGTGAGCCTGTAAGGTGTACATGATTAAAATATTTAATTACAAAATATCTTTTTCTAAGTATCAAAATTATATATTGTTAATGCACTCGAGTCTACAAATTTTGACTAATGTATTTAAATGTCATAAGAATAATTTCTCACTTAAAAATTTGATATCATAATAAATTAAATGCTGGAACTGATGCTGACAGGAAACTTGCGATACGGTTCTGATAAAAACACATGTATGGTTATGTCTTGTTTTGTATTATGAAATATAATTTGTATTTTTATTAATAATTATATATAATTTATATAATATTTCAATAACCATCGGCTGAATTTTTATCCAAGAAATGTTTTGAATATCTAGATTAAAAAACTGTGTTTAAAAAATTATAATAGATTGATTAAAAATTAATTTTGCTGTAAATCACTAGGTAGATAGAATAAACGAACAGTTATTTATTGTGACATAGTCACAATGCGGAGCTGCAATTTTTAATCATTTTTCATTTATTTAATTTAAAATGTATGTTCACCACATCAAATTAGTAGTGGCTTGCCCCTGTTCATCCTTTAACAATAGAGTTGTGCCGGTAATCTATCTAACACCTTTCGGGGGAACATTTTTTGAATTGAAATAACATGGCTTCCAGTTTGCATGGGAAGTTCATATATAGTTAATTGGGGCCTCCTGCCCTAAGGTTTCCATATCTGGTCTTGCCTGTCATCTAACTCTGTTCTGGAAATTAAGGAAAGACAGATTGATGACAGTGGGAATTTATTGGTCTACAATTTTTTCAAATTGCAGCCCAATTAGATCAACTGCTGTTTTGATATAAGCTCAGAAGTGATGCAAATGTGTTACTACTTCTTACTGCCTCTCTGTTACTACCATTACTTATTCACAGATAGATATTGGTACTTATTACAGTATTTAGTTATTACCTGTTAGTGATGTGCAAATCTTACTTTTTGAGAAATGGTGTAGATATTCATACTTAGTATTTGTTATTCATTAGGAGGTAACAGGTATTAATGACTAGTTATTTATACTCTATTGTTGAGTAGTTTGTACCAGAATCAAGTATTGTATTTGTAATTTCTATTCAAATATTTAGAATTTTGTCAGATTTGTGTTTGCTTAGAGGATTTCTTTGTTTTTTTAAATATTATTATTGTTATTTTGGTTGAACAGATGCTGTTCTCACTCAGGTTAGGAACCATTCAAGTCAGTAGTAGTAGTATGTGACAAGAGTGTTGTTTGTATCTGATGATTGCTGATGATGAGATAATGAAGGTTTTCTTTTATGTAAGATTGAATCAATCATTTTTTCTCCAGTCATCAAAAAGCTTATAGGTGGTATACAATAATAATATAGCATTCTTTTAAAATTATATATCATGCATCTTTGGTATTCTGATGCTGATTTTGACAAGAATTTATTATACTTTCTAACATGTTATTATGCAAATGATGATTGTGTTGATTCAGCAACTGACCTTTCTGAAAAATTTGTTATTTATGCAATTTATTACAATTCATTTTAAATACAGTAATACCCCGAACTTACTCAATAGGTGGGACCGAGCGATAACCACGTAAGTCGAATTCACATAAGTCGGGGTATAATTTCACATACAAATACATACAAATTATTTTTATTTGGGGCTGGAGACTAAAGAAAACAATAATTTAGAAAAAATGTTTCCAAAAGTCTTTAACAGACAGCTTGTTGTTTTGTCTCATAGCTTCATGCAGATGTGCAAACGATCTTCTTGTGTAATGAGCTTTGAATGTTTTGATGACTCTGATCCATCGGTTGAAACAAGCTGGTTGTATTTGGTGGCAAAAATACAACTTTCACATGTGCATCAAAATTAGTTACGGTTGCAGGGGGGTGACCTGGTGCATTGTCGATTATGAGCATCACTTTAAATGGAATTTGTTTAGATTGGCAATAATGTTCGACTTCAGGTATGAAGTGATGACCAAACCAGTCCTCAAAAAAAGGGAAGCTGCCACCCAAGCTTTACGATTCGACTTCCAAATCACAGGCAAGCCAGCTTTAGATTTTTTTTCAATGCTCTTGGATTTTCCGACTGATAAACTAAGAAAGGTTTTAACTTACAATCACCAGCTACATTTGCGCCAACCATCACTGTCAATCGATCTTTGGCGAGCTTAAAACCTGGAAAGGTTTTCTCTTCATGCGTGATAAACGTTCTGTTAGGTATCTTCTTCCAGAACAGGCCAGTCTCATCTACGTTGAATATGGTTTGGCTGGTTTAGCCACCTTCATCTATCATAGCTTTGAATTTCTCTGGATAGTAAGACGCAGCCTCTTTATCAGCACTTGCCGCCTCTCCACTTTCTGCAATGCTATGCCAATTAAAGTGACTTTTGAATTGGCTGAACCAACCGTTACTAGCTTTAAACTCTTCATCTTTAGCCACCTCTCCAGCATCCTCTTTCAATTTCTCAAAAACCAGCTTATCTTGAGAGCACACCGTGTTCTGATCAACAGGACAATTTTTCACATTTACTTGATTATCACACCATAATTTTAACATTGTTTCCATCTCAGCGATAATACCGTGAAGTTTACGAATGAAGCTTTAATTTAAAGATTGAACACTTCACAGCTTCGAGAAATTTTTCTTTACCTTTTATAATTGTTCTGACCGTTGATTCCGGTAGATCAAACTTCTTTGCCAATTTACAAATTTTCATTTTTGTATCGAAGTTAATAATGTTAACTTTACATTCCAAAGATAAAGTTTTTTTTTTCTTGTTTGATGCAGAAGAATCAGTTCTACTTCGTTTGGATGACATAGTAGAGTCTCTCAAGTCTCCGTAGATATAACAAATACAGAAATAAATAACACAAAATAAATTGTAGCTATGCGTTGATTCCACGCGACACATCCGAACATGTAAGCTGAACAATAGTGTGGGGGGAGTGAGTAATCAAGAGTTGCGTGGTGCTCAAACAAAAGAGGAATCGACGAGATTTGAAAATCGCGTAACTCCGGGTTCGCGTATGTTGGGGTAGCGTAAGTCGAGGTATTACTATATTTAATATATTAGATAAATTTAGATTTGAGAAACTAACTTTATTTATTAATGGTTTAATACATTGGAAACATCAGTCTGCAAGCCTTTGTAGTGTGTGCCGTATGAAGAGAATGGTTTTAACTTCTGGCATGATGACATAATTAAGGGGAGGGAGTTACCTTGATTTCAGATGACTGGTGGTGTTGGAGATAGGAGGATCAAAAAAGGGAAAACTTCTGTTGATGCAATACTTAAAAGCCCTTAATCAGTTTTTTTTTAATGCAAGTTGTTGTTATTTGTATTACAGGCAAAGTTTCTGGATTTTGTAGAATTATACTTTTGTGCCTCTTGTTTTAAGTTCATTGTACACTTTTTTTAGTTGTGCATCTGAAGGATAAAATATGGGTCTTATTAAATGAGAGTATAATTTGTGGCTATTGTGTATGATGACTATTAATGAGTCTCACCTTCTAGATAGAGAAATGGATCATGTTATGTTTTTGATTCTAAAGTTGAGAAATGTTTTAGTATTGAGAATAACAATTAATTGATTTGCTGTTTTTATAATTTTTAAAACTGGTGGTAAACTTTTATAGTAGTATTATTGATGGCTGAATGGCCAAGACAATTAGAGTATTCCTTTCTCTCTGAGAAACTTGATTTGAGACTTGTTTGGATCCTCTGGAATTTTTCAGATGTAAATCTGATGTTTCTAAAATAAACATTTTGGAAAACGTAAGATTCTCTTCCAAAAGCCCTTTTACAGATCCAAGATCTGTAAAGTATGGTAATTTATCCCTTAGTTATTAGGTGAATGTTATATTTAGTGATGAAAAAGTTTTTTTGTCTTGTGAAAATGATGTATGTGTCATGATGACAATTCATGCCTAAACAACGATGAAGAAGAAGGATTTAAAAACCAACATATTTGAAACTATGTAAATAAACAAGTATACATTTGTGTCCAAAAAATAAGCATAACCATTTGGTTTATATTTCAAAAACTACTGATAATAGCATGAAACTTAACATACAAACAGAACATTCGACTGTATGCAATAAAACAATTGAAAAACAAAAATTTAATCTAAGAGATGAAAATTATGTTTGACACCTGCACACATTGTAGCCAACATGAGCAAGTGATTGCTCATGTTGGCTACAATGTAACTTATCAGCTCTGTCAAGAACAAAGTACATTCGATAAAACTTGTTCTCCACACCACATTCCAGTGTCATTCAAATGGAATTAGGTCTGGAGATCTTGCTGGTCATTCCATACAATATCTTGTTGGGTCTTAAGGTGAAAACGTTCAAACCTTTACCTCAACACCCCTCCCCAAAAACATTGAATTAGTAAAATGTAAATTTTCGACTATAAATTCGTATTTTCTATTATTAGGACTTATTATACTGGCTTTACAGATAGTGCTGCAAAGTTTTCTGTTAAACTTTGTAGCACTATCTGTAAAGCCAGTATAATAAGTCCTGATAATAGAAGATAAGAATTTATAGTCGAAAATTTACATTTTAGTAAGAAAAAAAAGGACATTGAGGCATTTTAATTAAACATTGAATTAGTATTGAAATAAAACTTTCTTGTGACTAAGTAAGAGGTGTAATTTCAGAAGAAACAGATGAAGGACCAATCGGTTCGTGAGAACAAAAGTTCGAAACCAATCAGAATATAAGATCCATAGACCCAATCCATGAAAACCCACGTTCCAAGGACTTTTGCCCTCTTGTTTTGTCCAGTTTCTGTATGACCTGTTCATATTCTCCATCTGCCACCAATTCCTTTTTGACCTGCCTGTCTTGAGGGAGCCCTCTGGCAGCCGAATAGATAAAAACCACCGATTATTAGTAGTAATTCATGGTTCGCGCCTAACTAACGAGATGGCACGTGGTGTTTTCTGGGTTTTCTTCCTGTGTCTAACATCTAAATAGGAGCCAGATTCTTGTAAATGCCTTTTCGGGAGGCAATTCCTTGTGTTGCTGTGGAGATCTTCCCGGGATTCAAACAACCTAAAACAAACCACCAAACCACCTGCATGATAAGACGTGTTTTTCAATGTAAGACAATCAGAAAAATTTACAAAAAATGTGGCAAGTAATTTAAATACAGAATAAAAAAAGGACAAGGGGATATCTACAGTACCTGAGGCAACCACCTAAACAAAGTAAACATCGTAAACTGCCCGACGGATTGCCGAAACGATTATATGTCAGCTTATTGCTTATAATCGAGCGTTCGAAAAGCCAGAGGAATTTTTAGGGTGCTCTATTTCGAGATATGTCGGCCACATTCACCATCATCCGGCCCAGAAGAACTAAAAGAACCCTGCTGTTTGTGTGCATAGTCGAGCACAAGATGGCTTGAAAAAATCCTGTTAGTGCTCACAGGGCGAAAGATTAAAGATTAGGATTAGAATTAGAAAGGATTA